TCTTATTTAGCTGTGTAAACAACATCAGCCCTACGCACGATCTAGGAGGAAAACCACAGTGTTAAATTAATAATTTTTAGCTCCTGTATATCGATCAAATTGTTTGCCGCTAAAAACTTGTCTCTTGCGACAATTTGGCCTTGCCAGAAAGCTAAGGCAGCGAATGCAGGCACTGCTAGTCAATTTGTTTAATAAGAATAAGTTTGTGCGACATATTAAAACTCCACTGTTCGTAATGGAGGATATTAAAGATTCAAAAAATCCTTTGATTAATACAAGACATTTCTTATTTTCGTCTCCCTCATTTAAGCCGCGAGGTTGCTATCAGCAGCTAAGGTTTTAAAATATAATTGAGGAACTTCAATAAGTGTAGATAGAGGAGATTGGAGTGGGAATATTAGCGAAGGGGATTTATCAGGCTCTTAATTCGGGAAGAAACTGTTCGATTGACTTTTTCGGTCTACCATCTTCTTCATTGAAACCAGAGCGTTTTGCTTGCGGGGGACTTAGTTACTCGATGCCACTTGGAGAAAAAGATAGTTTTTGTTGAGATGAACTTCAGATTAGCTAAAAAATGATGGACGTGTGATTTATGATGTATAAAAATAGGAATGTAGTTCGGTCGAAATTCGTCTCCTGGTATCAAAGAAGTCTTTTTGACATAAATTATACGATGACATTAACATCTGAACCGCTGAAGAGAGAACATCGACAGTTGAGTTTCATCATAAATTCGTTTTCTCGCGTTGGATCATCACAGGGCGAACGAGCGCGAACGCAGGTCTGCCCGACTAACAAAAATTTAACACCGCGCCACCCACTCGCGTGGGAAACACGCAAAGCTCAGCCAGTTTGTGCGTGGTGAGTTGGCCTCGCTTCGGGAGAACTGCCTACCTGATCACAGTTGCTCCAGTGCATTGTAAGTATGGTGAAACTCTTCAACGTTCCTGCTTTTATAGCCGAGTCGCAGAGAGTCTAATGTGGGATGTTTATTTGCTTTCTAAACCGTCAATGTTCTCTCGTCCAATTCCAGAACGAGCTCGAACTGCGCAAGGCTACAGATCGCAGGATTTGCGCAAGTGTAGATGTAGTGGAATATCACGTGATCAGAGAGACAGAACCGTTCAGAACTTTGGTTGTAAAACNATAATATGCAAAAACTCAGATGTATTAAACATGAGTCCGTTTCAAATATTGACACGATTTACTTTTGAAATGTCGCTATTTTAATGAAAACGTTGACACATGACTTCCTTCATATGCAATATTTGTTTGATTAATGGATTCGGAGGGACCTTGAAAGCTGTCCAATATTTAGATGTACCTATATTATTTATCAAAGCTATGGAAGTTACTTTAAGTCGACCAAAATTTGACTTCGAGTTTCAAAGAATGATAGCTCTTCCAAAAATGTTGCGACGACATCAAATGACAAAGAAACAAGTTGTAAATTACCAAATTTGGCAGGAACTAGCTTATCGAAAAGTGACGTCATGGATAGCAGTACTGCCAACGACTACAATAAAGACTGCAAAATAAATCTTCAACGATCAAACGATTTTGATTTGTTCATAATTGCTCGCTGTTATTATCTTACTTTGTACTGTCACTCGAAACTGAGGCTTCTCGAACAGTTTCGATTCATTCACCACCTAATTCATTTGTCTACGTTCGGTTCGCACTTTCACCGAACTTGTCAGGAAAAGTCGAGCTTGGTATCGTCCTTGCATGTTGCATAAGATCATCTTTTAATCCCCAGTGGATCTCATTTCTTACTATTGCCGGAAATTTCTGATCTGCAAGAGCAGACTTATCATAAATTAAAACATACATATCATTTCCTCCTATCGGAGAAATACATTTATGTTTTATAGCTACTAAATTATTGTATTAAATTAGCAAATTTAAATGACAGAGGAGAGAAAAGATAATTTTTTCACTTTCATCGATTATCTGGAACCACTGAGAAATTATCCATTGTGGGTTGACAGCGTTCAAGAAAGAATTACGCCTTTAAATAAATTGAATATGGCTTTATCTTCGTAAATTTATTTTTTTCCAGAAGCCTATGCTAGCTTTGACTGAAGTTGAAATAATGGTCAAATCTTATGGAATATTTTACCGGCGATTTTCGTTTTGTAACCTATGATTCACTTCAAAAGCCCCCTTCCTTTATGTTTTATTTCGTCAGTTTGAAGTCATTTCCGTGTAGTCTTAGGAACAAGGTTGAAATAAACACCGCAATTAATTGTCTTTCTTGAATAATAAAACCAGACAAATTCACGATAAGAATATTATCCGGATGGGACATCTTATAGAAAGTAGCTATAGCAAGGTCGTCTTTGAAAAACAATACGCTTTCTTTTTAATGTAAATTTTTATATTGTCAGATAAATCGATGGATAATGCTTAGAGTACAAGACAGGGAATAATGAGGAATACTCATATTATCTTATTTCGTCTCTTGAGTAAAGTTTTCGGCTTGCTAACTACTGATATCTGGCGGTTAAATCTCGTTTATTTGTAAAGTGTAAACGGTTCTTGAAACGAAAAAATTAAACTCACTTTCAAACCTCGCTGGCTGCTCAGCATAGCAGAAAATTTAAGTACTTAGCATTTTCTCAGGACAACCTGTTTTGAAAAGACAGAATTAATACTTCCGATGCAAATGATGACTTCCTTGATCCTTATTTGAGACAGCTTTAAACGCTGGATTATAGTTGTGGCGCCCACACAGTCAGGGTTTTTATCAGTTGGCAGCATGTAGCAGCAGTCGCACCTGTTTTGCTGCATGACTGCGCATGCTCAGGGTTATCACCCCCCCCCCCAAAGACAAAAAAACAAAAAAAACAAACAAACAAACAAAAACGAATAATATTCTCAGCTCGCACAACTTGTTTAAAAAGATTTTAACGTTCTCAAAGTAAAAAAGTATTTTGCTCCAGATTATAACTTGTTTGCACTTTTAGCAGTAACATGATCTCCTTCCAATTGAAGCCGCCGTTGTGGTCTACAAACAAAATTCTTTTCATATGCAAAACGTTCCTAAAATCTTCATTCTCTTCCTTTTATGTCAAATTATTGCAGAGACAGTCAAGCAGTCGGTATACGGCCGGCGGAAATCGTCTTTTTCTGTTCACGCGGGTCGTAAGAGTGAATTGGATACAATGTATGTTCAAATATAAATAAACCATACTGACGATGTAAATTGTCTTTAAAAAAATAAAGATTCAACGTAATTTAGACTTCAATGTGCCCAGCTGCCGAGATATATTTTGTCTTCTGCCGCGAATCGATTGGAAGCACTGACTTGTCATGGAAAACACTCATAACAAATTCAGAAAGCTTTGTTCCTCTCTTAGTATATAACCAATCAGCTTGAAAAACGTGTAAAGGGGCTTGCAGTCGCGAGCCATCATGCTTTAAA